TATATATTATATTATTATAAACATATTAAACATCTATGCACATTACTCCTCTTCCAGAATTTTATCTGTGATAGAATTCGATAAACAATACCACTTGTTGATTTATGCTGCTTATTTACTTTTTATTTACTTTAAGCTCATTTTTCTTCTTCTTTTACTTTATTGATTGTCCGGAAGATTATATTTACATCACCGGATTTCTGGAACTTTTATTTTAATTTTAATTTATTTATTTTTTTAATGGCGGGCACTTGGGACATTGACCCATTGGCCACAGGAATGCCAGAACTGCTACTCTCTTCTCGTTACCCATTGGGCACCTGTGGCGAAGTCACGGTGGTGGAGCAGCGTCGCCCACGTAACACAACCACAAACCCATTTATAGGGCGGGTCACATTCACACTCAAAGGAGAAAGGACCTAGAACACAGAGAGAGAGAGAAAGAAAAATCCATGCTTTAAGCGGGATTCGAACCCGCAACCATCGACTCCGTATTCAGGCACGCTAACCACTCGGCCACCTGGTCGGCATTTTTGAGAACTATTTCATTAGCAAATGAACTGTTTAATGTGGACCATCCATCGATCATGGAGAATTTTTATCACGTCCGGAGGTCGCCAATTAAGTGTTATTATCAACTATGTCAGCCTTCATCTTTTAAAAGGTACCTCAAGATAGTCTTATTATATACTAGTGAATTGGTATTTAATATTTATAGTCGTAGTTACGCAACACCAGCAAACGTACGTAAGACATTCTTGCAAAGTCTTACAAATTGTGAAAATAATATTTTCATTAAATAGGTTTTTTAAAGCAGAACTTGGCATTACAAAAATTGCGGAACGTTTCAGCATTTGGAAATGAAAAAGTAGTTTTCCATATCGATGACATTAATCTTCGACACGAGCTTGAAACAAATTATATTAACCAAACTAACAAGAGTACACTTACTGATTTGAAAAAACACCAGTTCAGAGTTTAATTTTTAACAGTAATTTAGTATTTGGTTAAACTTTAACTTTCCCTTTGTCTTATTAAATTTTGATTTATAGGTTTTAGTTGAGAAAGAGTTGAAAAACTTTTCCCACGATTGCGATAATAAAACCAGACAGGCCGAACCGGAGCTTGAATTCTTATTGAATGAATGAATATGTAATTTTTTTTAACTTTAAAACAATACTAGTAAATAAAGGAAACTAATCATTCTTCTTTTACTATCTGATCAGTAATTATATATTGTATCGTTGGTAGATCATTATTATGTATTTTTAGTAAATTTTTTCTTCTTAATTTTCGTACAATAAGTAGTTTTTAGTTCTTTAAAACTGGTTTTTCTCTTTTCTTACAATTATTAAGTAGTTACTTTTAATCAACGAGAATAGAGCCTGGAAAGTGTAAGTTATGAAGGTTTGTTTTGAAATTAGAACAAGGTTAAAAAAGATAAACGTTTGCTCAGGAAAAAAAAAAAAATTATATGAGTATTTTTTTCTACCTAATTCAAAAAAAAAAAAAAAAAAAAAAAAAAAAAAAAAAAAAAAAAAAAAAANAAAGAAAAAAAAAAAAAAATAGAAAAAAAAAAGAAGTTTTTCAAATTTTTCTTTAAATTTTTTTTTTAAAGTTTCATAGATTTTAAGAGAAAAAACAACTGTGCAATTATTAAGTCTATTAAAGTAATAAAATTTTGAATAAAGTAAAAATAAAAGAAATAATCCGCTCCTAAATAATTTTATTTACTTATTTATTTTAGTTTTAAACAAGAATAAAAAGGAAAGAAAAAAGATTTCTATTTAACAAAATTGAAGAAAAAGAAAGGGGGGGTTAAATTATTCACTATTTTTGTTATCTAAATAGTGAATAATTGAAATTATTATATAAGTAAATGTTTAATATATTTTATAATGAAATTTCAATTTTTCAAAAATTATTTATGAATAAATCTCAATTACTTAATTTTTATTTTTAACTTTTCAAAGACTTTTTTAAGTTTCATGGATTGCAAGAGAAAAAATCACATTCTATCATTAAGTATTAAGGAATAAAATTTTGATTATGAATTAAAAAAAATTGCGAGCTCGTAAATAATTTCAGTTATTTGTTTATTTATTTATTTTGATTTTAAAACAAAATAAAAAGGAAGGAGAAAAGCTTCCTATTTAGTTTTCTCTCTCAAAGAACCAGCAATAACAAAATCGAAAGGAAAAAAAAAACATTAAATTATTCAATATTATTCTAGTTACCTAAATGGTGAATAATAAATTTATTGCACAAGTAAATGTTTAAAAATTTTTAATATGAAATTTAAATTTTTCAAAAAATATTTTTATAAGAAAATTTAAATTACTAAATTTTTATTTTTAACTTTTGAAATAAATTTCAATTCAATAACAATGATTAAAAGTCATATTTTCAAGCATAATTAAAAGTTATTTTTTACAGAACAAAATATTTAATTGTATTGTTAAGTTTTATTGTGAAAAATGAAGCAAGTTGATTCATTATTCTCGTTAGTAGAAATTGAGATAACCAACTTATGCATAGCGACTTACGGTCGATGATTAAGAACAGATGTGTACCGTCCAATTTCTTTCTTCTTTTGATGAAGAAAAATCCAAATATTTATGCAAAGAAGGAAAAAAATCCAAATATTTATGCAGTTTTTTTTTTCCATTTTGAAATTAAATTAAGTGTTTGAAATTGAGAAAGTGTTTTGAAATTAGAGGAACATTATTTTATGCATAGTATATATTCAGTCTGTAGCAAACTTTTCGTAGAAAACTCCGAGAGATAACTCTGTAAAATGCAGTGCAATGATGCAATTTTCTCATATGCAACACACTCGGCACTCAATAAATTATAAAAAATTTAACATTGGTATGCATGTTAAGTCATAAAATATTAAATAAAATTTTTATAAGGTGGGCAAATCCTTTGCTAAGACGCCTAACTTTCGAAATAGTCAATGATTTATCTTTAACAATTTCATAGAGATATTTTTGTTAAAAAAAAGTCTATAAAACGTTAAATGTAAATTAACTATATTTCCATTCTCCCCTTTGCCACAAACTAAAAATGAGCAATTGGAGATCTTTGTAAGTTCAGATCTTCCAGTCCTGTTCTGGTAAGTGCACAAATACAAATTTTGTAGCTTAATATATACTTAAAATAAAGGCAAATTTTAGTAAGACAAATGAATGCAAAAAGTTTAAAGGAAATTAACGTTCATTTCAGTTCTTATTCATGAAATGAAAAAAGGACAAATGTTACGTTTCTGCTAATTTATCGCACTAATTGAAGCAATACAGTCAAAAATTCATTATGAAAATTGCAAATTAGAATTGTTCTGAATCCCTCCATCTCTGTATCCAAAAATAAAAAAAAAATTTAAAAATTGATTTAAAAGAATACAACGTGTTTTTTTTTGTTTTTTGAAAAAGTTAATTTGTGTTAATCATTGTTATTCTTTAATGTTTTTAATAGTTAAATTAAGCAAAAAAAAGCAAATTTAGAGTTGAACTTTATAAAAAATTCTTCAATATAGCAAATTTAATGTGTCAAAATTAATGTGTTTTTAATGCGTCAAAACTAATATTTCAGATTCGTAAATAAGTTTTAATTTCGAAAATTTAAACTTATTTATGGATCTCTAAGGAAATTTTCCTTAAGTTTTACTATAAAACTATAATAAGTGTTAATGCTGTTATATGGATGATTTGTCGCATGACACATATCATCTATATAGCAATAGTGTCGTACTTAGTACATGCAGATAGGCCATAATTTTTAGTACTTACATCAACCATTGAAACGTGTTTTCCAAGTTCCGGTTTTTCAAAAAGAAATTTTTTTAAACGTTTCCGTTTACGATTTAAAACTTCACTCACTCCTATGGTTTTAAAGAATAAATGTGATACAGACTTAGGAGGACACTAAACCACGGAAAAAAATTTTCTTGGTAAATTGTATTCACGTCAATTGATAATTTAAAATTAAAAGAAAAGTGAGTTCAGGCAAACCTAGAATAAATCATGAAGTTCCAGGTTTATTTGAACTCACTTTCTTTTATTTTTTAATTATTTATGTAGGTAAACGGAAATTGAATTTCGTTTACCTATATATTTCTGATAGAGCTAACATGTAGTGGGGTAAAGCCGGCTGTTTGTCTAGAAAAAAAATCCTTTATAAAAAAAAAGTAGCATATCTATGACTTTAGAAAAGTGATACATTATAGTATATAACTAAACAATAAATACCTGGATTGCATCAGACAGTCAATAGGTGAAATACTTTATAGGCCTTTGAATCTTAGTTACCCGGTATTACCCCGAACTCCCCTTATCTATGGATATATACACCGAAGAGCCATTACATTATGACCACCCTGCTAATAACATGTAGGACCACCTTTAACCCTCAAAACTGCTAGCACCCGCCGTGGCACTGATTCCACAAGGTGCTGATAGGTAGTCTGAGGTATCTGGTACCAAGCGCTCACCAATTGGTCCTGCAATTCCCTCATATTGCGAGGGGGTAGCGTGGCAGCACGAATTTGATTTTCCAAGTAGGACCACAAATGCTCTATTAGATTAAGGTCAGGTGAATTTAGGGGCCAAGACATGACTTGAAAGTCACTGGAATGTTCCTCGAATCAATCCATGATGATTCGACCCTTATGACATAGCGCATTATCCTGTTGGTAAACATCATCCCCCGCAGAAAAAACTGTTGCTATGAATGTGTGAACCTGGTCTGCAACTATGTTCAAGTAGCTTACAGACGTCAGGGATTGTTCTATGAGGATTATGGGTCCTAATGTGCCCCATGAAAACATTGTTCCTGGGCGAGAAACCATGAAAACCTGGGCGAGCGCATTGTTATAGATGGAGGGTGGTCATATTGTAATGACTCTGCGGTGTATATTATATAGTTTTTAGTTTTAAGCTTTGATTAATTGTTTAATTAAAAAATTTATTGTTAATCATAATTAAAAAAACTCATTCATAAACGATAGAATTACATCATTTATTGACTCAAACATACAATATGAAAGCATAATCTTCAACAAAATATTACAAAACCAACATTTTTTCTGTACAAATTTTAACTATATTATAAATAATTACAAAAAATTTATACATAGCACTAGTTGCATAGGAACTGGTATATCTTTGATTGGTTGTTGAATCAACCTGTAAAATGGAATTTCCCAGGAACCTCCCTTTGCTTGGAATTCCATTTTAGTTGTCCATTGAGAATTATTATTAACATAGAAAACTAATTATGTAGGAACTCCCATTCCTTATGTGTTGTAAAAAACAAACAAAAAAAAATATACATTTAATTCAACGTTCATAGTTGATACTAAGTTGTAAACTGCACAATAAAAAGAGTCTGAGCAAATGTTTCCCCTTTTTACTGTCAGTCATAGTCGATCAAAAGAATTCCAGAAATATTTTTATAAGTAGATCACAAAGCTCATCAAAAAACTCTAACTTTTTTAATATACAATTGCATAGAAACATGCAAGATTCCACTGTTTACCCTCTTTACATACGCCTGATATATGCCTTGATATACGACTCACGGTCTGCTTTTTGCAGGGACTAACAAATCTTTCCAAACATATGTCAGCAAATATTTTTGAAAAAAAAAATTTTCTACATACATAAAAGTTTTTTGAAATTAATCTTTCAGTGTCTGGAAAACTTAATTTTTTCACGTTTATCATAAACCTAGACCATAAACTGAAGTATGTACTATAGACTAGGAAGAGACATTAAATGAATAAAACTAAAACTAACAATTCGGATAATACTATATGATAATCATGTCACAAATACCATATAATATTTTAAATGGCGGAAAAACTTCCGTTTATGATAAAAATCAATTTACTTGCCAATTGATCTTTTGTCAACAACTGTTCACAATTATAATAAAGAAAGGAAAGGATTATCTGACTTATTCATTTTTTTTACCACCAGTTTCAGTTTTTTGGGGGTTTATCCAATGGTGTGAAATAGCAATAGCAAGTTACACTATTCAAATAAATTTTCACTTTAACATTCCTTTATCTCATTAATTACTCTTTTCATAGTACTCTCATAACTTTATCAGACCGAAAATGTCCAATACTAATTAACAAAGCATCCTTGTTGTTCATTAGATGTTTCATTGATATCTTAACAGCTGAATAGTATCGATGAACTAATAATTTTAAACATAAAATTTTAATTATCAAAGAATTCTTTTTCGCCCTTTCAGGAACTCTGGTAAACCCCAAAGATCAACGGAGTCTCCATTTTCACCTGAAAACTCTATAGGCTCTAGTATCATTCATCATTAAATAGTCAAGTTCAAAGTACATTCACCGTTTTTGGACAATGATTAAAGCCCAAAAGCATACAGTTGCAATTAGTCGGATTTCCAATTTAGTTAAGCTCCATCAGGTGATTTCCGGCATCTCCCGATACTATATACATTAAAAGGCAATCTGTTTTTGCTTCGAATCTACAAAATCACTGGATTCATCGAGCAAGACTTCACTAGAATTGAGATATTTGTACACATAATCCTTATTGCCTGATTTTCTAAGGAAAATATACATACTGATGAATCCAGAAGAAGCAGTATGTACTAAAAGTATACACAAAAATCCACGAGGCATGATAAGTTGGCAAGACAGCGGCATTTATATGTTGTTCTTCTTCTTTTGTAGAACGTGTAGGGGATTTTCTTGTTTTTCCGTCGACTGCATCTCTTTCGTTCGGATACCAGTATGGATCATTTGGTACAGGACTATAGAAAGTCTCATCCAAGTCTTCGGGAGGACTGGTTGGATATCTTGGACCATGAGAAACAGAAAGGCCAACATCTGGACAAGATGCTAAAAATAAAAAAGAATTTTTACTACGACATGCCAGTTTGAAATAAAATACTCAGATAATCTTAATGCTTAGTAAAACATAAGATATCAATAGAAAGTGACACTTCATAATTATTTGCACAAAAACAGCTAAAATAGTTACTTGATTGTTCTTTGAAATTCAGTATTCATGAGAATATTAAGGTAAGATGCCCACTATTATTAATTTATTCATTATTAGTTTACTATAATATGCAAGAGGTGTGAGTGCTAATGCACTTCGATTAAAAAATAGAAATTTTTCAAATCATTTTAAAGAATGTTATTCTACAGGACAATATAGAAGAATAGGCACTCAGAAATCAACTTTTAAAAAATTTGTATATTAAAAATTCGATTTCTCATTTTGATCGATTTCGCTCAAATTTTGCATTTCGTCAAGTAAAAAATTGTATACCTGGCAATTCAAAAGTTTTACAACTATTATGAAAGAAAATAATAAAAAAATAATAATAAATATTTTCTAAAAGTTCTCTTTTGCTTGGAATTATCTTAAATAAATAAATTTTTAATTGTATTCAAAGATTTTAAATTTCGCTTTTGCTTAAAAAGTTTTCGAGATATGGTGAAATACGCAAAAAGAAAAATTAACATTAAAGGGTCCAAACTTTAGATAGCTGTCCTGACTGAACTATGGGTACCATATTTCCCAAACTGCAGCTGTCTCCATATTTTGACGGTCAAAAATATGATTTCGTGGAAAAAAAACGGTATGTTTATTCAGAGAAAGTACGCTTTTGTGTCTAATTTTGTAACTTAAAACATCGTCGGCACTAATTAATTAGAAAATTTGAGGCTACCCCTTAAAACCATTGTGATTGAGTCCGAGAACACGAAGATCTGATCATTAGATCAAAAGTTATTCAGGGTGGTCCGTTTTTATTTTGTGCACTGTATATTTTAAGTTTACGAAATTTTATCACCTCCAAAAGTATTTAAGTTTATAATTAAGAAAAAACTAATGACACTAACAATATTTTGACATGCAATCACTTGAAAATAGACACTTAAAAAATGAATAAATGAAAAAAGTTTTAAGAAAAATGTTTTTAAAATCGGATTATTATTTTTTGACCTTAAATGTTCCTAAAAATTAATATGTTATTAAAGTTAAAAAAATGCACATATTATCATTATTATATTCTAGATCCGTATGGTCTCATTTATTTTACTTATCAGTGAACAACACAACTCATTCAATGCATGTAAATTTACAAAGATGGTTTCAGAAACAAAATATTGCTGCAGTAATTTTTCGATTTATTATAGGAATGAAAAACTTGGAAGTCATCAATTTTCAAAAAAGAAATGTGCGATTGGAAGATGTTATCCGATTTAAGTTTTTTTTAATGTCATTATCGTAGAATACAATGCTATTGAATTCGAAATATTACTCGGGTTATTGTAGTTTAAATACAAAAAAAAACAGACCCTCTATCTTAAAACTAGTCAAATTTTTGAAAACGTGATATGGGAGTGATTTTTCATTTTAAAATGAAAACTTTTAAAATATGTCAATTTTCATGCATATAAAGTCAGTTAACCCTCTTTTTTTAAAAAAAAAAAATTCTGAATTTTAATTAAATGGTTATAATTAAGGCAATTTTATGGTTAATGGAATTTTAATTAAATATTTTTACATTCCTGCTTATTTACAAAATGAAATGACATAAAGACTTTATTGAGCTCCACTTTTTCCCCCCTCCTTCTATGATGAATATGATTTTAGAAACACTAAGGAAATGCGGATCTCAAAAGAAGATGAATTATTTTTACTTGCTGCACGATTTAATAGTTTCTAACATAACTACTTAAATAACGTACCATGTTTTGTTATCTTCATTCCATATATAAGTGGATCTTCTCCCCGTATACAACTCAGTCCTGCTTCTTTAATGTATGCTTCTTTACCACTTTGCAAGACTTTACCAGACTGTAGAAAAAATTATAAATAAGTGATTTATGTCACAAAAGAAATATGTACATTAAATATACAATCAGAGACTAATTTATGGAAGGGTATTTAAAACACAGGCTCAGGGTTCTTAATTTGTATGGACAGTTCAATATATGCATATAGTTGAACATTAGTAGTCTTAAACCCAAAATTGGGTCGGCTGTTCAACGACGGTTATAAAATAAAAATAAAATATATGCATATAATACTGCTGAAACAAAAGTAATTTTTAATATGAAGAAAACATGAGACTTTAGGCGATATGGAGTTTTAATTTAAACATGAGCATGGACACGATTGATAATCTTAAGCAACTAAAAACGGGAAAAGACACAATTTTACACGTGCCAAACTTTCATAGCAGGTATAATTAAAGAACAAATGAAAAGTTAACTCTCATAATTTCACATGACATGGTACGATAAGGAATGGTAACTTTTGACTTATCCTATTCGGACTGAATAGGTCTTTAGTCCAGTTCAGTCAAACCATCGATCGTGAGCCACAAGTAACTTGCTTTATCGCTTCGGTTGGCTAACCTCCATCCCTACCACTAAGCTGATAAACTAAGTGTAAGATCTTTTTTTAAAGCAGAGCAAGTAGCCTACAGTAGGTTTAAAAATGGTGCGGTAGCTTTATAAGTTTGGTGACCACTACTGTAGTCAATATTTGTTGTCGTTTAATGAAAAGTTAGAAAGTTTAGTTTGTAGCTAAAATTTGGGATTCAATTCACCTAATTTTATGGAATGTGTTAGATTTCAAATATTTTAAAATAACATCTGCACATTTAGAAATTATAAAAATTTATTCCTATATATATATATATATATATATATATATGNTATATATATATATATATATATATATATATATATATATATATATATATATATATATATATATATATATAGATATATATATATATATATATATATATATATATATATATATAATGTCACTCCAGGTCTTAAGGTGTAGTCCAACCCCCGTTACTACTCAGGAACATGGATTTTGAAAAACTTGCAAAAAACAGTATAGGAAGTTCTGCAGACAAGTTTTGTTGTCCATAAATATAATTGAATAATTTAAGACTTGAAATAAAATCTTTTTTGTGGAATGATTGGCAGATCAGAAAACTCTAACCGAAATTTTACGCAAAGCTAAACGATGGCTTTTGTGACTAGACTTGTTTTCCGAATAGATTGTGACAAAGAAATACAAGCACACGGCGATATATCACTGCCGCTACGATTACCGGAGCTTTCTCTAAAATTTCAACATTTCATAATATCTTTCTTGCTAGTAGTTAAAAAAAAAACTATCATTATTTACAAATTGTCTGAATTTCAATAACTTATAAATTTTAAGAATCGTCTTCATTTTGCTCGTCATTTTACTTATAACTATAATTTCGGAGTACAGTTATGAGTAGTAAGTAGGGTGTTGGTTTTTATATTATATCCAATCCTGTGAGCATTAATATTTTTATCTATAAAAGTCAATATCAATATTCCAGTGTCAGTCTTAATTTAGAAATACCATCATAATTTCGAATTTAATTACAGTAATAATTTGTTTAGAAAACCAAGTTTTAAATTAATACAGTCTTATGAAGTAAATCTGATCATCATAAAGAACTTACAAAACATTGAAATCCTTCCATCTCTCGTCTTTGAGTATAGGTGAATGTTACTCCATTAGTGTCTCGCCAACTTCCCAAACAACGATATTCTCGTTCTGAAAGGGTTAAAAAAATATAATTAAACTTTAAAAAAGAAGGAATGGTCGTGAAAATAACATTTTAGTATAAACTTTAAAAATGACCTTGCATAACTTATAATAAAAGTGTTCTAGACATTATTCACATGGATGTCTGTAATATATTTATGTCTCACAAATTTGCTAGAATCATCAAGTAAAACGTAGGCAGCCGAACCACAGGCTTGATGATTATTAAAATGATTGCCCTGCAAGCATCGGCATTATTGCCGGAGATTAAATAATTCAGAAAAGAAAGCATATCTATTTGTAATCTTTTAAGCTCCTGTTTCTTTACCATCTTCAAAAAATTTGCTCCACTTCCTTAATGTTTTTCTTTGCTATTGCACATGAGGTTACCATTATTGTTTTTGTAGCTCCTACTATTGTTTGTGTAGTTATTATTATTCAGGAATATACAGGGTGTCCCATAATCCCCGCTCTCTGAGTATAGTTTTTAAAATCTTTGCTAAAAATGAAGCCAATAGAATAAACAGATTAGGGATCGCAAGTTAATATTCATGCGTGGAAGAAAGAACAAAGTGAATCAAAACTTTTCGAATCATTGATGATAAAGGCCTAAACTTTAAAACACGTTTTACTTTGAGACGGAATAGAGTGGTTTTGAAAAACGGCAGTTCCGGAAACATTTGCTCATAAAACGTCTAGCACATATTTTACAAACGGTGAAAATACTGCCTCATTAATCTGGTGATTTTTACATAAAGAAATTTTTAGGTGATCGATTTTACCATGATCTAATTCATTCTTAGTATTTAGATCTAACTTCGTATCAGTCTTTAGTTTTTTTTCTTCTTTTCTATCAAGAAAGAAATCCGGTACTAAAGTAGTTAAATAATACAAATTTCTTTGTACCTACCATAAAACTGTTTATAAATGTCAATCTTAATAGTCTCTTTTGATGACTCTAGGAAATTGAAGTTCTCTTTAGATAATAGCCTCGTGTTCATTCATGCGAAGAAAACGAATATTCAATACGTTCTTTAAAAATGGCGAATTCCGAACGGTAAATGAAATAGCTTGAGGCCTGTCAGGTGACAAATTATTATGCTGATCGCCCTGCACGTATCGGCATTATTGTAGGGATAAAATTGCTGGAAATAGAAAACACCCCCAGAGGCTAATCTTTAAGGCTCCTGTTTCTTCAGCATATTCAAAGAATAGCTTCATTTTCTTTGCAGTATTTGACTGTTTTTCTTTGTTATTATACGTGTGATTACCTTTATTCTTTTTTAGATATCATTATTATTATCTATTAAAAGTCATGATTAATCTTCAATCGTCCAAAAGCAGTTTTAGATGCGCTTACAAAGCAATATGACTTACGCAATAGAAAACTCAAAAAGTAATTTTAGACGCGTTTATGAAAAATAACAATTTCATCCATAAATATAAGAAACTTCATGATAGAACGTTTAGACCTTCATGGAATCGCTTTTGGAATCAGTAGCCTTGTAATTCTGAACCCAATCTTGACGACAAGGGGGCTTTTGGATCTAGCATTGCGACAAGCCTGGAATACTTTTTGATAGAACTAACACGCATTTGCATAACACGAAAACCTTCCGTGGTTAGCCCGACGGTAAGGAAATTCTTAGATATGATCCGTCTACCACTGAGGATATTATACATCAACACTGTGGGTTGTGCAAACCGAAAGCAGAATTCGTATCTGCTGGGATTCGAAGTTGGGTCATTTAACTGAGAGGCGAGAGAACTATTCCATAATCTCGGTTCTAAATAAACTGTTAATCTATATTATAAATTAAAATTTTCCATATTTCTTTTTATCAAAATTTACAAGTCCGGTATTACCTAGATAATTGCTAATTCGAACTGAGACAATTCCATATTTTTATGGTTTATAATTTTGTGATACAGGAAAAAAAAGAAAAAGAGCTTCATAAAATTTTAGAAAAGTAGAGAATTACTCACTACTAAAAATTGAGAAGACAAAATTACTGATTTAAAACAAGAGATTGTGCTATTACTGCGTTATGCTATTCTCCAATACGCTACTATTTTTAAAAGTCAAATTACAAGAATGCTCAGGGTTGCTATTCAAATTTGGAAGAAAAAAAATTCCCCGTGTTTTCCCTGTACACATTATACACAATATATTACGAGGAAACAATAATTACTGTGCTCTTGTGTGAGCTATATTGGGCTAACTATATTTATTAGTTTTAATTGCTGGAAAAAACAGCTGAACATACTTAAATAATGCTATTGTAAATGAAATAGGTTAGTATAGCTGAAATATCACGGTTAAATATCCCATAGATTACGCTTTGAGTGGACACCATTTTTTAAAAGGCAAAAATAAGAAACAAAATTCCCTGCATTTTCCCTGTTATTTTAGGTGATTTTTAAATTCCCTGTATTTTCCAGGTTTTCCCTGCTCTCCCTATCGAGTGGCAACGCTGATGCTAATATAAAAAACAGAACTTTTTATAATATAGATTTGTAATATAATAAAACCAATCAGATTAAATTCATTGAAACAACGAAAGAAGAAAGAAAAACAACTGAAACAAAGTGAATATTATTTTCGATTAAACAAGAAAAAATTGAAATAAGCACAATTTAAATAGCTACTTCTCTATATAATATTATTTAACAATAAAAATAAAAACTAGTGCAGAGAATGAAAGCACCGCATAAAATAATTTTTGGATGAAAGCATTGTGTAAGTTTCGAAATATGGAGAACAATATCAAATTTGAACAATAGATTGCCCTTTGATTGAAATGTAGCGAAAGAAAAATACTTCTGGAAAAAGAAAAAACGTCTAAAATTTTTTGTAGCATTTCATGCAAACCATTTTTTGTATAAAACTAATTAGTCTTGCTGAATAACAGTGAAAAGTTCTTTTTTTCGACAAAACTGTGCAGTAGACAGTTCAATTACGACTTGTTACACATGGGTGGACAATTAGTGCCTTGAACTTACGCCCCTCCGCAGAAAATGAACGGTAGCGGAGAAAGAACAAGTGCAAAAACATGAAAAGAAGTGCAAAAAGAAAAAAAAGAAGTGTTTCACATAGAGCTTGCGCATCCAAGTGTTGTAAATGGAAGATGGATAAAATAAAAAATAAAAAAAATTGAGAGAGAACTTTTTATCCGTTTATTTGAACGTCGAATAGTTCCGAAGAACAATTATTAACTTGTAATGAGTTTCAGAAGTACGTCAAGTGTTTCGATTGACGTTCCAGAAGTCTCGTAATTTGTGGAATGAAGAATGTTGATTTGCAACATTGCAATCTCTCTTTTGTGAGATATCCCCTCCCCCATTCAGAATTTTATATAAGAAAATGGCAACAGTAAATCATTAGATTTAAAGTTTTCAAGCGACTTAAGTTTAAAAGTAATAGTTAAAAATGTAAGCAAGGTTAGAAAAATTTGAGGGATATTCCTTTTTAATTCCATACTAATTTTTTTTAAATTCCTTATTCCTTTTTAATTTTCTTATTCAATTGTTTTTTCCAAGAAAAGAAAACTATTTCAAAGAGATTAAAAAAAAAATAAAAAAAATAATTAGAGTTATACTACTTCCTTTCAGAAATGTAACTCTCATTTTTTCTTACGATTGTGCCATCCCTGAGGTTCGTAGTTTTCTTCTAGTCATATCACAAAATCACTTTTTTTTTGTTGAGGAAACTATTTTGTTGTTGAACTATCTTAGAGTTTACCTAAGATTTTAATTTGTGTTTATTTTATGTCGTATTTGTTCATCAGGGGAATTATGCCTATTGTTTTTGACGAAAGTCGCATTCTTTAAATGAAAGTAGCAATTTCCTCAATTTCACGAAATACTCGCTTGGCGCATTGTTTAGCTAACTGTTAGATCGAAAACAAAGACACTTTTGTGAATTTTGAGTATGCATTTTTTAGAGAGTAGCTAGTCTAATAAGCAGCTATTTTTCTTTATAAATCTAATAACTCATAATTAAGAGACAAAAATTGCCTTACAAATATAATTTTTACTCTTATAGGTTTGTTAATTTTCATAAATAACAAAATATAGAAAGCAATACAGCTCAAATTTACTTACCTTCAAAAATTAAGGATTTGTTTTCGCAGCTACTAACTGTGTAGAACATGACGTCGGGATTATTACAATCTGAAGCCACCTTTGCACAAAATCCAGGATTTTCAGGTAAGATTCCAGTGTAATCTCCCATAATAGGGCAAGGAAACATTTGAGTTGGTTTTAATCCTGCGAAAAAAAATATCGTTTAATAATAAATCATTGCCATTACTTTCTTAAGATGTTAAGCCATATATTGATATAAATGAATTTTTTATTATCATTTTTTAATGATATGTTGAGCCATATTGATATGCATGGATTTATTACTATTATCTTTTTTTATGATGTGTTGAGCCATATTGATATGCATGGATTTTTTCAAAATTATTTTTTTATGATATGTTGAGCCATATTGATATGCATGGATTATTATTATTATCTTTATGAATGTATTTTTTATGATGTGTTGAGCCATATTGATATGCATGGATTTTTTAAAAATTATTTTTGTATGATATGTTGAGCCATATTAATATAAATGTATTTTTTATGATGTGTGAGCCATATTGATATGTGTGGATTTTTTAAAAATTATTTTTGTATGATATGTTGAGCCATATTGATATGCATGGATTTTTTTAAAATTATTTTTTTATGATATGTTGAGCCATATTAATATGAATGTATTTTTTATGATGAGTGAGCCATATTGATATGCATGGATTTTTTAATATTATTACATTTTTATGAAAAATAGGGTTCAATCTATAAGGCATCAAATCTAAGTTAAATAATAATAAGATTAAATTTTATTTTTTATATAAAGAATACAAGAAATATGGCCCACATAACATTTTCTCTGCTTTTTCTAAACACATAATAGGTAAATTTAGTTTGTAACAAAAAATAAACTAATTATAGCAACTATAATATAAAAACTGAATTTTCAAGCTGAATTAACATATATAAAATTATGAAATAACACGTTATATCATAGAACTAGTTTTTCTTTTGAAATAGCATGTTGTTTTATTTTATGAGGTTTAGAATGTATAGAAATAATAAAAGATAACGTTTTTAAAGTATAACTTTTCCTTGAAGGCCACATTATTTAAAGAATTAGTTGAATAAAATAGTTTTCTATACTCACATCTGATCATAATACTTATGTTTTTCAACTTGAAATTCACCTATTTTTAAATTTCACTAAACATGTACGATCACTAAGCAATTGCTTCAATGGATCAAATTGATCTGTAATTTAAGCTACGCGAATCCCTGTCACATTCGAATAATTACTATAAAAACCAAAAAAAAAAAAAAAAAAAAAAAAAAAATTATGAGTTATTTACTAATTAACGTTTAAATTAAATTGTAAACTATCTAATGATGTAAAAATTAGTTTATGAAATAACAGCTTAACAATAACATTTAGATTCTAAGCTAAAATGGTGTTATAATTATGAAAAATTACTCAGAATTTAAAAAATAAAAATTAGCATTCTCAAAGTGGATAAGGAATATTTTAAAAGGCTCCGACAAAAACATGAGCATAATTCAAGTAGCACTTTAGTGAAGGATCCCGATAAACTGATATTTGGAGAAAAATGTGAGACCCATGAATCTTTGCACGTTAGATCGTGACATAACGTGCCACATAACAACATCACGTAATGATTGTGACATAACGTAAATTCGTGTCATATTTGAACATTTACTTTAATAGCTACAAAGCTTGATTTTAACGAATTATTTACAGACTACAGACTAGTTTTTAAAATAAAAACAGGCACGAAGTATTCAAATTAGTTTAACAAATAATACAACTAGTTTAATGGTAAAATTTTAATAAGCTAAAATAGTTTTATAATTGTGACAAATGATTCGGAACTTAAAAAAATAAAAATTAGCATTCTCAAAGTAGATAAGGAATATTTTTAAAAGCTCCGACAAAAACAAGAGCATAATTCAAGTAGCACTTTAGTCAAGGATCCCGATAAACTGAAATAAGGAGAAAAATGAGGACTTAAGCCCTTATGAGACCCATGAATCTTTGCTAAACATCAGATCGTGACATAACATGCCACATAACAACATCACGTAATGATCGTGACATAACGTAAATTCGTGTCATATTCGAACATTTTCTTTAATAGCTACAAAGCTTGATTTTAACGAATTATTTACAGACTAGTTTTTAAAATAAAAACAAGCACGAAGTATTCAAATTAGTTTAACAAATAATATAACTAGTTTAATAGTAAAATTTTAATAAGCTAAAATAGTTTTATAATTATGACAAATGATTCTTATTTAAATCAATAAAATTTTAGCGTTCTCAAAAGCAGACAGTGATTATTTTTAAAAGTTCCGATATAAAAACAAGAGCATAATTCAAGTAGCACTTTATTGAAGGATCCCGAGAAAGTCAAACAGAAGCTCGTTAAAACAAGGAGAAAAATAAAGACTTACTTCCTTGCGTGACCCATGAGTCTTCACTAAACTGCAGATCGTGACACAACGTGTCTGAGTACAAATGACTAGGTTGGGAACCTGGGGGGAAGGAAAGAATAAATTGTACAGCCTATCGATAACACAAGGAATCATCGATTAAGAGTAATAATCAGTAAAATGAATCAAATTAAGATTTACCTATTTGGAATTCCATCACGTTTTCACTTCTTTTCTTTACCCAAACGCAGTTGTAGGATTCTTCACCGCTGAGGAGAAGAAAAAGAAAATTATTGAAATGATAAATGTCAAATTCTCTGTTAGAATAAATAAAAGATCATATTCCAATGCAACAATACGAATGCAATGTTTAGGCATTTCTAGGGTTTGGAGCGATTTAGAGATAAGTCACATTTATTCCAAAGGTGATATTTTTGCATCAAGGCATACTATGCTATTTTTACATCAATCGCATTGAAATAAAAACCACATTGAAATGGGCAATAATATTTAAAAATAGGTAATGCTAATACATTTGAAGGACTTGGGACGATGTAGTGATGATGAGTTACTTTTTTCCCCAAAGGTGACTTTTTTACATCAAATTATTCCTTAGTATTGTTGCAGAGGTACGATACGTCACGAGAAGTGACGATAGTTCTTTTGAAAGTTTTGACGAACTTTGACGAAAGTTTTGTTCGGAGAATATACCAGGAAACGATTTGGTCAAAGACGAGGAAAGTTTCGTGATATTCGAGCATTCATCTTTTACAACGCATCCTCAAGAAATTCGAAACTATCGATGGATTATTGATAAGGTTTTGCCTGAAGAGCCCAAAACATACAAGACTATGATCAGGAGAAGCCTGCTTAGAAGAACACTTGGTGCAAGTTTCAAATGTGACGAAGATTTTAATACCCATTAAAGAAGTAAATGATGATGGTTTGATCCTTCCTGTTGTAATCAAGTGCCAAAGCGCCACTCATTAGTTTACTCTGATACCAATAATGCGCTGGCGGAGGCCAATTGATTTTGTTCCACCCCTTATTAATTGTACAATATAATAATTGAAAAGAAATCACATAAAAGAGAGCTTACCAGTGAGTGGATGAAAAAACGATGAACCTATCTTCTTTGGTACCTTCTTCCTTTCTAAGACACGTCAGAGAAATCCTTTGTAGTCTGTAATGATCTTTGTATATTAAAACATTCCTCACCACCTGTATGCCTTCCCAATCACCCTGTACCCAATCAGGGAATCGACAGTGAGCATGAAGTACAGGACCTGGCGGACTTTTCTCCGGAACTGTTTAAGACAATAAAAACTGTATTCAATTTCTCTGAATAATAAGTGATAACATCAATTAGGATCAAACAAAATAAAAGCTTTAAAATTAATATTCCGAGATACCCTACTTTAGTATAGTGAAAGGTATTTTAATGCAGCGACGAATTTTACATAATGGGAAACAGGAAAGCAATGTTTTCACTATACCACATGCCATTAGTTTCAAATTTTTTTGGCCATAGCTGTACGACCCCTTGGCCGACAACTGGCTGCAGTAGGATTACTTTATTACTATTATTATTTTTTTTTTTTTACATTGAATGCATTCATTTTTTTGTTCAACATTATCATATCATAATGATTTTTTTAAATCTTTTTTTATATTTTTTATCTAGTATTAGACTAGGGAAATTCTGATAAATATTGCATAATATACATTTCTCACTTACAAGGAGTCAAAATCAATGATTCGTAGCCATCTGTAGCAGATCTGAGTTGGTTATAACATGTTGAATCAGCTGAAAGCGACACAAATACTCGACCAGTTAACGGATCAACTCTGTAGATCTAGAAAAAGAAAGAAGCAACAAAATCATAGATAAGTATTTGTCATAATAAATGTAGGCAATACGAGTATTAACAAGTTATCATAGAATTAACTTTGCTGCTATTAATGGTTGAAACATTAAAATACTTACTCCACATCTGAATTTAAATCTTTCTTCTGAGTCCTCCTTCAGTTCCATAAGTGCAAGATAACGATCATTATTTGGACCAGCCCAATCCCCTAAACATCGGAAGTTGACATCTGCAAAAGAAAAATTATATTTTACAGTACAATGCACACATTAGACAAGGTTTTTTATGCGTATCATTTTTAAAATATTGATAATCGTATGATAAGCACAAAATTGGTCACAGGTTTATTTGTCGAGTAGAAACCGAGGGTCAATTTAAAACATCAAATAATGACTTAATGTATGAAAAGTTATAAAAAAGTAATGGTTTTGATTTAAAATTAAGATTACAATAAGTATAAAATGTTAATGGAAAAAATTAAACAAAAATTAAAAAATAAAAAAGACGAATTGAACACATTTATTTACTTAAAATATTTAGAAATTTTAGTTTGAATAAATTTTTTTCTTCTCAGCGCAAACAATAAATTTTCGTTATTAGTAACAGTTTGCTGTTCATTTTCTATAACCTCTTTTGAATTCAGTAAGTTCTTTCATGATTTCGAGGCCTTCCTCTAATGTTAGCAATGGTTGCGGTTCCGGTTGATGGTTGATTACTTCGCCCTTATTCAGCTTTGCAACCATTTCCTTGAAACAACACAACATTTAGCATTTTTATTAACTGATGTAAAAGAGCTGCGGTGGTTCAAAGAAAAAAGCTCTCGCATGAGGTGACCTGGGTTCGAATCCTAGCAATGGCAGGCTGATATGAATTCCACACCCAGCTCACACCCACCACGTAACACAAATGCGGTTTATTTCCATCAAAAAGTCCCCCACGAAGGCAAATTTCTTCCAATACCTGATCCACGAGTTCCCTTATCTTCTGGATTGGGTTCAAAATTACAAATCTATGGAGTTAAACATTGGTTGTCGTAAACTCAGAAAATTAGGTCGGCTGTTCAACGAAGGTTATAAAATAAAAATAAAACTGATGCATAAACATCAAATGTTCTGTTTGAAGAGTTTTCCCTCATACTGTAACAAATACTCATTTTTTTAATCCTTCGCATGTTACTGTTTTTCTTCTCAAAACAGAGTAACTTCGATATTTTTTAAAAATTATCTGCCGAATATTTGAACGATATAAGCGGCAATATTCGAGTTTCAAAAACGATCTAAACGAGTACTCTTGGCATTAGAAGAATGGCATTTGTGATGAAACCGTTAAAACAAGACGATATATACAGGAAAGCGAATGATAGATCGAGGTTTGGCTACATTTTACTCTCAGCTTCTTACAGTTTCGAGATGTTAGAAAAAGTGTGAAACGAATATTCCTGACCAAATATTATGCATAAAATCTATTTCTGGTTTAAATGAAAAGCCTAAAAAATTTAAATAAACTTCGATTTTTTTAGATACTTACCCATATTAGGGAAGGAGCATTGACGAAACTTGACCCCCAAGACATTACCGTCAGGGCAGTTTGACAGTTCTGACAAGGTTTGGTCACATCGAAATTCTCCATTGCTAGCTGTGTAAGTAAACCTAAACTTTCCACTTATTGGACAGAAAACTTGTTCGTGAGGTGAATTGCTGGTTAAATCTTGCTTTCCTGCAAAACATTTCTATTACTTGTAGAGACATTTTTAGCACACTAAAATTTTATTACCAAAGAAATCGGATATCTAACTAAAACAGTTTAAACACTTTTATCATTTAATAAGTACCACTGGCCCTAGAAGGGTAATTCGAACCTAAAACGATGAAATGAATTCAGGCACTGACTTGATGAAGTAATGGAAGCAGTTCTTAGTTTTTCCGTAATTTACCAACACTTTACAGACCCGGGTGCAATCCATGTAATTTAATGAGATAAACTTGAGTTCAGTAGAGGTTATAGTTATTCCCTGCAAACGTACTTTGAGTTTCGTTGCCATCAACTTTTATGCTCAATTATGTTTTACTCATTGTATTATGTTCAGTGAGCAGTGTATTCCCTTTTTCAGTTAATGGCATAATTTTATTTGTTAAACAGAATGAACTGAGCGCGAAAAATTAAGCTCTATCTATTATTAATAATTTAACTATTTACTTCCAAAAATTTCGAAGAAGAAATAAAAATTTATTTTTAAAAAAAAATGCCATGTAGTTGGAAGCTAGAGACTACGTCTCATGCTTCATCGAATAATTTATTCAGCCAGAATACTTCCTGCTTCAATATTTCTGCTGATATCTCCACTACTCTGTAGTTCATAAACAAGCAGGCTTTTTTTTTTCCTTCATGGCCCGGGCATGGCACTCAGAGCGAAGCTCAGAGTACGGGGTGCAAATGACTTCGAAAATTACTACCTTAGTAGCCAGGATGTTGCCACTCCCAATACTATAGGCCTCGACTAAACAAATCTTTAGCGTTCCGTTTGCTGTTAAGAAGCGTAAATCACCTCAGCCGTCGGGTGATCCCTCTAATTTTCTCAAAACCTGATCATTTTATTGCTTTCTTTTTGAAATTATTTATTTCCTCCAACTTAAAAGGATCTGGCAACCGGTGGCAAGTTATAGTCTCGTTTTGTGAAACTGTTCTGCTGAAAGACACAAAATGATGGCTGCCGTCTATGTATTTTTTTGGACGAAAAGAAGGTAGGTTGAGGAGTTTTCCTCCTTCGAAACGATAAAGATCTCAATTGCCTTTAATATGTCATTATACCCTTTCGTTTCTGCCCTTGTTTGGACAGTATCCTGAAACGGAATTTAGATAAATGATAGTAAGCTCTTTAATTCTAACTGTATATCGTTTGGAAAGTGCTTGGAATGCAGTTATTTAACTCTTCGTTTTTAAGAACTTATACAAAAGAAATTCTATTGTTATAACACATTTGACCTCATTTTATAACTCCGTCGTCGAATGAAATAACACTTTTTAGCGAATAATATGCTTTTGTTTAAAATAATTTTTGTGATTTTGTAACAGTTATTTTCTATCATTGCTAATTATAAAAATGGCGCAAAATGTTCTATTGTTCTAAAATATAATGTAAATCTATGATAAAGAAACTATTGGTTTAATTCCTCTAAATTTTAGAGAAATTTATGATAGACAACATAAAATAGAATCTCGCGATTTAATAATGATGTTTTATGTTCTATCGGTTGTAAGAGATTACTAAAAATATAGCTTATTACATTCGAACTTAAAAATATAACATCACACATTCCTAAAGAGGACATGTAAGATGAATGCAAGATGAATATATAAAATATAAGACATGCAAGATGAATATATAAAATATACTCTATGTTTCGGAATATTATCAGGAAAATTTCTCTGAACATGACAGCATTTTATTTTAGAGAACACAAAGTAGTTTTTTGCACTTAATTAATGTCTTTCAATTTTTCATGTATTACAATAAAAAAAATTATATCGAATTTATTATACTTCAATGTTGAACTACAATATTATTACATTTCTTTAAATAATTTTAATTTTGCAATCTTTAAAACAATAATAAAAAAGAAAAGTGTTGGAGAGAAAATTGTGTTTAAGTTTAAAAATAGTAGCAAAATATATAAACTCGGAGTATTACATTTGACTCGATCCTCATACAAATATATGCTGTTACAGAATACAAAGCCGATATTACGGAGGCCAATGTCTATGTATTTATATATCAAGAAACTATTACTACCTATATAAAGCTATAATATTACGTAAATTAAGTAAAATAAATTGAGAATTGAATAAATTAAATCTCCTGCGACGCACCCAAACTTGTATGCTATCATAATTATTTTTCATTTAAATGTTTGTATAACGTAGGTTTTTGTTTTTTTAATATCTTCACAACTTAGTTTTTTTTTTTTTTTTTGTTCTCCTAAATGGTAGTAATAATAAACTATGTAAGACCCTCTGGTGATTTTTTAAAAAAAAATATTATAAAACTACATTTCCAACAACTAACATTAAAAATCAAAATATTCCCCGAAAATTTCATATTAGAAAAACGGTAAATAAAAAAGAGTCGATTATTAAACTAAAAAGCGGGTAATAGAAGAATAAAATAATCCATTAACATCTTCACAAGGTTTTTATTCTTATAAATAATACTAATGAACTACTTAAAACATTCTAATAATTTTTTTTATAAAAAAAAAAATTAAAATATGGTTTGTGAATCTACATTTTTAACAACTTACACGGAAATTCCCCCTTACATAAATCCAAACTAAACATGATTTTATTTTCAAAAATGAATAAAGTATCTATCATTAAACAGAAAAACGAGTAATAGAAGAACAAAATAATGAAATCTCGTTTTAGAAACGCTTGTGCATTTTTGGGAGGTTGTTGCGTTCCAAAATGATGCAGCGCCCGTCCTTGCTCTTGAAAGACTTTCTCCGACTAGCATCTTCCCACGTCAAGAAAGTAAAGGTCAAAATCAAGAAGAATCCACACCCCACCCAAGTGAGAAAGAAGATACGTTCGAGACGGGTGGAATATTCCTTTGGAATTCTTGGGCTTCTCTATTCTCTATGTTTATTCGTTGGGTCAGAGGTGATGGTTTGTAAAAAAGGTACGCCCAACCATACACATGTGCACAAAAGGGTTGCATATAGATATACAATTTACTCCCACACGTGGACTCTCCACAAATTGTTCTTGTGACTCACAAGATTTTGTTCTTAATCGGACACAGCAGGTGATGAGATTTGCTACAGGCTATTGTGTCCAGTCCATATGTCCTAGAGTTAAACTATGTACTATTCGTGTTTTATGCATGCCACACATCAAAATTAGTTTTAAAATTTTGTACAACACACAATCTATTGTAGTAGTATAGTTTGTAAGAAATTGTCTTTATATACCTTATTTCATTCTCAAATCGTGCTTTTACTTTTGGGTGAAGAAAAAACCAAAATGTTTTTGATATCTAAAGAATTATTGTGGGAGGTGGAGTTGAAAGCATCAAAACTTGTTTGATTGCCGTAGTACACAGAGGAGAGTTGTCAGCCGATTGTTAGAAAAACTTCAAAGTATCGTCAGGAAATAAAACCTGTGTTATTTTTTTTTACCTGCCTTTTTCTGCAGTAGTATTTCAGATTTTGTTGATGTTTTTGTCTTTTTCTCGATTAAATTTTTATTTTGGACACCTAATGTGTTCACTTTTTTTACATGTGCTCTAAAAATATATATAAAAAGCAGTTACTACGGAAAAACCTAAAGAGTAAGATTCGTTTAAGAGTTATTTAGTGGTAGAATATGTAAAGTGAAATTTAAGAAGCACTCAAATTTAAGGTTTAGGTATAATAGCGACTAATCGTGAATATAGAAAATTTATGTATTAAATGGATGACAGGTTTTTCTACATTGAAAATAATAACTGCAAATTCTACAGAATAATAACTCATATTTTACAATAAAAAACTGTTTGAGGATAAACACAGATCTTTTTCTGCTTTTAATTGTTACCCGTTGTAATTGTACTGCAATATATCTTTTAAACAGGAGTCCTTTTTATAAATAAGAGTATTTTTCTGCGAAATAAACTGTTTTATACTGGCACATTACCTGGCAGTTTCACATGGTATACATTCTAAACTTGTCGTTAAAAATAACCTAAAATGACGCTTAATATGCTGTATTATTCTAACCAATATACTAAGTAGTAAAAGTAGTAGTTTGCAAAGCAAAAGTGGAGCTTACTGTAGAGCATTATTTCTTTGAATTTTCTTTCATACACAGCTCTATCATCAGGACAAGTCGCCTTTACAGCTTCTTCTTTAGTATAACATTTTCCTAATCCTGTTAAATATTAAAAAATAATTTTTTTAAAAATCTATTTAAATTAATATAATTGTGTTTTAAATACAGTAATAATTAAATATGCTTACCTTCTGTGTGGATTTGTATGACGTTAGGGGCTTTCAAAGTAATATGAAAACATCTCATACAATCTTCACCTCCAGTGCTAAAATGACGGAAAATGGAAACTAAATTTAACTTTCAACTAAATTTTCATATATTTGTTATTCAAAAACAATAACGCCACTTATTTGGCTAGGAAAATAATAGTAACAGAGCCCGCAGTTTGAAAATTTTGAAATTGAATCAAAGCTTAAATTCTAAATTATATACATACTAAACGGAAAATATTTTAAATATTTAAAACTTCAATTTTTACAAATTTTTATGAGCTTAAACGATGAAGTGCTGAAGTAACATTTCAAGTATTTAAGATTTATATCACAAACATTTTTTTTCTCATTTTTAAAATGCTGTGATTTTCATTCCCATCTTCTCATTTTGGGCCATTTTCATAGCCAAGCGACATAACTTAACTAAACAGTTATAACAAACGTTATGAATTTCAAACTCCCAACAATTCTCATATTTTCAATTTCCGGGAAAACGCATGATTTTTTCGTCTCGTCGTGTTTTTTGTGAAAAACATTGTGTGTAACATTTTGTATTAATTCACGAAAATTTTAGGTTTAGGTCAGAGTCATGTGAATCAACTGAGAAAATCATACATCGAATAGTGTTACATAATTTAACAAATTTGTATACTCATTTAGTCACATTTAAAAATTAAGTCATTTATTTGATTGATTATTTTATCTTATACACTTAGGCTGTCTTTAAGGGGGGGGGGGAATGAGCTTCAGAAAAAAGAGGGCGCTCCGTTAGTAATTATTGAATTTAATAAATAATGCAATTCGAGTCATTGAGCCACAATTTAATACGATACTTATTCAAACGAAATTAGAGTTTTTTTTAAAAATAATTAATGTATTAAGATTAATTAAAAAGAAGCTTCATAAGCAGCTCTAAAATTGTTCTAAATTTTAATAATTACTCTCATTATATTGTGGTGTAATAAGAAGATATAAATAAAACCTTCTTAACTAGCCATTTTTGATGATCGCATTAACTGAAATACTTTATCATTTTTGTTAATATTTTTAACTCACCTGAAAGAAAACTGTTAATCGATACATTATTTATAACGATATTCTCTAACATAATAACGTATATATTCTCTAATTGTATCTGCATCTAAAAAATGTATAAAGCAATAAAAGTTCCTTTTAGTCAATTTCAAATTAAACTTTGAATCTAAATTAGTTTTTTAAAAGTGCAAATTTGTACTTAATTGCATTGAATTCGGGATTAACAGTCCGAATAGAATCAGGTGCTAAATTTAAATAACAGTTAGTGAGGGGGCTTCTTTTCAGTGCTTTCATTCTTTATTGCTTACTAAAATACCTAAATAAAGATTAGAATTCGCCTATTATCTATGAAAAATACGTATTATTATGAAAAATGTATGAAAACTACGTGTATAATAATTATTTATATACATAAAAATAAATAAATTAATAATACATAAAAATATAGAAATATTTTATGCATATAAATACACTGTTCTTGTTATTAAATTCCTAGTCTTTGTTGTCAAAGAAAATTTCTAACATTTTCGAGGGGAAGGGAAGGAAGAAAAAAAAGGTAATTGCTAACATGAACATTGACCTTCAAAATATCTCACCGTCACACCCACACCCTCTGGCAACTAGCAATGACTAGCAGTGCATAAGATTACTTTCCGTCACAGTTCGGAAGTCAACGTTATTACGTTACAATTTACGGTGAGGAAGCATAAGATAAAAAGAAAGAAAAAAAATGCTTGACGGAAAGAAAAGAAATGACTTAAAATAAAATAATGAAAAGAAAAAAAGGTACCCCACCTGTCTTTGAGGATGACATTGTTTCCCCTTCTTCGGAAACACTTTCCCCAAGGAGGAATGGCGTCCGGCTCAAAAGTTATTTCAGAGAAAGAGGTGGCTGTGTTTCCGAATCCCTCCGTTTGTGTCTGAATCAGGTATGTGCCAAGGTATTCATTGGGGAAGAAACATAACCCCTTCACTAGAAAAGAAAAGAAAACACAATTTCAGACTATATTGCATAATTGTTGAAAAATATTGCAATGTATTTTCGCTTAATTATTGAATTAAACATTTCGACGGCGATTTTCCAATCCAGCAGCCTTTAACGACTTGTTCCTTTTTTTAAAATAAAGAAGAAAAAAAAAATAAAAATAATATTTTTAAAAACCACGTTTTTGTATTGGAGAATAATAATTAAAAAACAAAAATTTGAAAAACGAAAAAACGTTGGGTGCATGAAATATATACCAGTAACAGTATGTGTGCTCATGAGAATATGTGTATGTATATCTGTAATTGTATCTAAATGTGTATGTGGTTGTGCATGTGTATGAGTAAGAAAATGTGTTTATGTACTGTTATGTATTTCATGCGCCCCACGTTTTTCGTTTCTCAAATTTTTGTTTTTTAATTATTATTCTCCACTACAAAAACGTGGTTNTTTTTTTTTTTTTTTTGTGTGTTCTCACTTTCAAAATCTCAATTTTTTCATTCACTGTACACAAAACTTTTCAACTGACATGTGACACTAATTTGAAATAATTAAATCGACAACAAAAGACAATCGCAAAAATATTAATTTTTCTTTCATTTTACTTTGTATGTCTTTTTTTCTTCATTTTCATGCATTGTCATCCAATTCTGAACTATGTGCCAAATTTGAACTCCGTCGCTAGTCGGGAAGTTAGTTTAAAATCGATTACAAAATTCCACCTGAACAGAGACATTCACGAAAGCAAGTTGATATAAACGTGGTAAAAAGACGATTTTTGGCCTTTTTTCTTTTAAGCTTAGGTAGTAAAATTTTAAGAGAAATTAAAGCTTGCATTAGAATTGCGACCAACTACAGCTTCAAAAAAAGACAGAGTCGTTAAAGCCAGCTGCATAGCTGCCAACCGTTCCGTATCTCCCGTAAGATTTTATTTTCATATTTAAAGTGGTAGTGAAACTCATGTTATTTCATTAAACTTTTTGAATTATAATAATAATTATAAATGAGTTTGACCACCACTACATCTAAGTAATTATAAAAAATAGATAAAAAAAATTAATAGTTTTTAAGATAGCGAATTTTAACCTGCCCAAAATGAGAATATATTTTCGAGTAAGATTGTTTTTCGATAGTTGTTTTACTACCACTAGGAAAATCCAATCTCAGAAAGGGTGAAAATTGGCAGATATGCCTTTGGATTGTAAATTAGAGTCCCAGTGACTTAATGTTGTTATTAGGTGGGCCGGAAAAAACACTGGAAATAAAAGCACCGTAAAAAGAGCACCAGAAAAAAGTACCCCTGTAATTATTATGTAAATGTAACGTCCAATTTCTATTTGGGACGTTAAACCAGCATTTAATGTAATTAAATAATTTTTCTAACGCAATTAGATATTTCTAAAAAAAATCATTGTTAATAGGGATTAATTTTAAGTTGACAGAAATTAACTTTTATTTATTTATCAAATTGATTAGCAGTTTTAAAATTGTTAAAAATCATATAATTACGCTTAATGTGACATAATAATATACAAATAATTTTTTATCATCTAAATATTTTTTTAAACGTTATATTATATCATTTAATTCATTCAGAGAATAACCACTTGAGAGGTTATTATATATGGATGGATGGATGAAGTCATGCGTGGTATTTTTAAAAAGTGAAGAAATCCATTATCAACAACACTAATTTCAAAAACAGAATTTAATAAAAAGAAGAAAAAAAAGAAAGTAGAAGAATTTGTTTTCTAGGCCCTTCCAAATATTAAGAATTAAAAGAATTTATCCCCCCTATGCAAACTACAAACTGTATATTTCGATAAAATAAATAAATAAAAATTCCCACTGTTGCATTAAATTTCTTATTTGGCGACTTTTTTTTCAAATTAAAAAAGGAGTTAAATTACCTCCACGTCTATCATTATTTGGAAAGAAAAAACTCTTAATTTTGAAATAAAATTCGAATTTACTCTGATACCTATAATTTTGTCGAACTCAAAGAAGAAAAAAAAGAAAAGAGAAAAAGATTTTAAGGTTTGCATGGAAAACGAAAGAAAGAAGGTATACAAAATCTTTAAAAAAAAAAAGAAAAAAAAGAAAAAAACATTCTTTAGGGAAAATTGAAAATAATGACTAGGCAAAAGTTTAAATTACTTATTTTTCCTGTTGGAATGCTACCCTGTTTGTCATTAAATTAACACAAGATTTCGAAATTCCAGATGTTTCTCTTTTTCCTTTTTTAAATCTTTCAAACTTCAACGAAGAGTTTAGATTTATAATTTTGTTTTTCACATGCATTGCTGTATCGACTTGTACCATACTGTATACAGGAGTTGCGTCGGCCCGAAAATCAGAAAAAGGTTAGTCATTTTTTCCGATAGTCAATCTGAATTCGAGTTTTAATGGTGAATTTTTTAACTTTACAAAATAAAAAAGAACTTCGAATAAAAGGTATTTAATGGTTTCGTATCGATTACCCTTACGTCTTATAGCTCTTCAAATACTCCAAAATATATATTTATTAATAAATGTACATTAAATGTACATTTAAATGTACATCCAATTAAAAAGACTAAAAAACTTTCGTTTTTTGACTCTGTTGAACAAAAAATACTTGTGAAATAAGAATCTATGGTGTAGATTCCTCCTTGCGAAATGTATAATTAATGTTTTTATTAATCTTAATTTTAAAAATATTGATTGCAACTATTGTGTTATAGGAGTCTTAATAATGTTCTACAAAAGTAAAAACCGTAACAACCTTAAGTAAAGCTTACTTTGCATATGTTAGTATGTTTTATACGTGTATTTTGTGATGTATTAAATGTTTTGTTTGTGTACGAAAACTATTATATTCGTACTAAAACCCTTGCGTCAAGCAATCCTTACATATGAATAAACACTGCAAAAATTTCCGGATCAAATTACGATAAAAAGTACCGGCAGTCATTGTGCCAGTACTTTTTACCGTAAAATCCATTTTTCGCCGGAATATGTTACGGAACGAAAAAAAATTGATATATCGTAATTTTGACAGTAATATTTACGGTAATATTCACTCTAATTAAATAAATATTACTGTCAAAATTACGGTATACTATTGTACGGTAAAAATGGGGATTATGGTAGTGGTTAGAAAATCGGACTCCAGTCCGGAGTATATGCACCGAGTACATGCGAACAAGCGACGTACGTGCTCGTAAAATCTGTGGTCGGTTGCACGTACGATAGGTATAGGGATCTGGAGAAAATTTCCTTCCCCTTCTGATCTATGTCTAAATTGAGGCTATTAGTGGATTTCTGAACAAATACGTACTTTCCCCCTAGTGGGGCTCTCTTGACAAACGAAAAGCGCACCTTCCTAACTTTCGCTAAAAAGACAATGGCTGACGAGCTCGGCTTTACCAAATGTGATAAGAAACAACAACGGTAAAAATGGATGATGCAACTAAAGTACCGGTTTTTTATACAGTAATTTGATAAAAAAAATTCACAGTGTATACATTAGGTCATCAATTAAATTTATTTACGTGTTCTGGTATACATTTAAGTGCACTTCAACACGGAAATTACTTAAAAAGACGTTATACCATGGGATTACCTACATAAATAATTTCAAATTTAAGTACAGAAAAAGTGAATTCAGCTTAACCTAGAAAATACCATGAAGTTCTAAATTTTTTTTAAAAGAGATTATGATGGGATAACTGAGATCTACGCAGTGAAGAAGTAATCCTGCACTAATTTGTTAGCATTTTGATATTATGAAAACAATTTTCAGTTTTTGAAATTTCATGGTTTACATTAGGTTGGTTAACCTGAACTCTCTAAATTTTAAGTTTTAAAATGCCAGTGGAGGATAAAAACAGAAATGAAGAGTTTCTTTCGCAATATAGCATCTATAAGAGGTAAGCTTATTAATAGTCCTGGTCAGGGTTGGCAAGTTCTTGACACGTGACGGTTTTTACCGGTTTATACCATGGTTTTTACCGTCGTGTCAAAAACTGTCAAAAACCCATAGTTTTGGCAAAACTGTATTTTTGAGTTTAACTGCTTATAATTTAAAATTAATTCATTTTTGGGCAATAAAATTAGAAAAAAAGTTGTTAAAAGATATTTAAGAACAGATTCTTGCATTTTCCCAACATGATTATATCAAAACATACTATTTGAAGTAAAATATTAGGATACTAAACAAAATTTTCAACATTTCCAAGCATCATTTTGTTTGGCATATTACATTACTGAAGAATGACAAGTCATTCTTGACTTAGAGTTTGTTAGTAGTTACAAGCTTTGAAAGTTTTGTTTAGCTTATTTCTAGTATTTAAGAAAAGCCAAATTTTAAATTCTTCTTTTTAGTTCTTGAATTTATTAATAGTTCCAAGCTTTTTTGTTTGTTTGTTTATTTGTAACAATTAGGAAGTGCAAAATTTTGAATCCTTTGCAAATCAAGCTGTAATGATAAAAGTAATTATCACCATTTTCAATAAGTATATTACAATATTTCTATATGAATGTATATCCTTCTATAAGAATGCATGTATATAGTTGCAAAATCAATAGCAATCATTTACAGCATTCATTTATAAAGGCAATTATGTGAAAATAATATATTGTACCCTATATGCCATAAATTAAAGAAAACAGAAGGTTTTTGACGGTTTTTACCGGTAAAAACACGGTTTTTACCACTGTCATGTCAAAAACCAGTTTTTGGGGCCAAAAACCCAACCCTGGTCCTGGTACATACCGGAATTTGTCAAAATATCGCAATTTCATATCTCAATCTCATTTGATTAAATTTTACATCGGCCAATTCATCAAAAGAAATTTATCTGCACTCTTAAAGCAGTCTTATTCGGTAACTACAGTTATCGAAAACATTTGCGATACTATCATATTCAGTATTCATCATAGTTGATAATATTCATTTTATTATGATATTAGATATTTATCGTTGTGTGACAATGATTATGATATTA